GGCCGTAGCAGCGGGTAATAAGGTAAAAATGTGAATTTTTTCCATTTAATGCATTCAATGTGGCTTTCTTTTCACCCCTTTTTTCTGTAATAAAATTAGGTTTGTACCTGAGCTTTGTTTTACCAGAAATGATTTGACTCTTCGAACCTAAGCCAGCAACGTAAATGCCGTCGTCTATTCTGGGAGGGATTTCTTGCGTGGACGTCTCTGGAGAAAACGTGTCTGACACACCATCTAGTGTTGCCTGTATTTCTCTTGTCTGTACGTTCACCTGCCAAAAAGATCATCAGAGTTTTGAACTGAATTTAATCGACAAAACACTTGTTACTGAAAATCAGATTTTGTCGTTGGACCCAAATTTCGTGGTTTCTTCAAAACACACTATTTCGTGGGTACATGATTCTTGCATAAAAGGTATCTATTTATAGGGAGAATAGCTTTATGTCAAACCTGAAATTCCTTCCTGGACCTATGAATAAGTGCATGAAGAGAACCCACGAAATCAACAAAATTTAAAATCCTACGACTATTAGTGATTTAACAGTAATATATCGGATAATATATTATAGAGACACCAAACTATATCTTTTACATGCACGTACTACCTTACTCTAACCTTTAAATCAAATCCAAAAAAGTTTTGTCAACAAAATAATGTAACATATCTTGTATAGACGGTACTTTGAATGTGCCAAATTAGGCTTTTTTTCTTTGAATTCGTCTTAATGCTGTACTCTAGCTATCGTTCGGCTTTTTTAATGAATATTCACTCTCTCGAATCAATTAACAGTGATGAAATGTATCAATTGGTAATTATATTCATACAATTGATATTCATTTATCTGCATTTGAATATAGTTATAGCCAACAATTGACTAAAATGTTGCAACACTTACCTCTACAATGTGGAATAACCCATCTGCGTATGTATTATTGTTGCTTCTAAGAACAGTTGTTCCCCGCTTAGTTCTCGCCTCCATATGTACAGAACCTTCAGAAACGGAAAGAAGCATCTGGAAATGCTGAAACAGAAAAGGAACTCATGATACTTCGAAAGGCCCACATCTTAGCATATACGTGTCTTGCTTTTAGTTCCATATGAGCATTTTTAAAAGCTTAGAAACTGTATGTTACTTAAGCTTTGATACCTGATAGAGTTGTGATTTAATTGAGATTTAAATGACTCATCGGTCAGGGTTTAAATTACGTTATACAACTTGATAATATCATCTATGTTTGTAAAACATACCATATAGTCAATATACAAGAACAAATTGATATAACTTTTTTCTAGATATGTTAAGTTTCTTCCTAGATATGAAGATAATTTAATCATTAACTCATTCAAACCTCCTAAGTTTTTGTGTCTTACGACCCAAGTGTTATATGTTATACTATGTACTAAATCTTCGCCATTTGACTTCAGAATTTCTTTTGTCTTTCACAAATATCATAGTCAGATATTTTCGTGGGACATAATACCGTTTCGTTGGTACATGATAACGAGTACCCACTCAAACGGAAAATTGCTTTGTCAAATATGTAATTACTATGAATTCGTGGATGAAGATTACCGACGAAATCAATGAAACTAAAAAAAATACACGAAACTTAGAGTAAACTGTATCAAGAAAAGAAGTAAGAAATGGCTGTGAAGATACTGGTAAATGCCGTGTGATAAGTTACATCGATATAATGACTGTTAAACACTTTCATTTTTTAGGACCCAACTTTTATTGTATATTGCATGAGGACCAAAAAATTGAATGGTGTTTTTAATTCGCACTTTAACTCTATTGACACCTTTCAATATTTAAAACCCTATTCATAAGCTTACAGTGTAGTAGAATGAATACGTAACGCCAAACTTGATGTATCTTGCACCTAATGTATTTAATGTGTGTGTGTGCTATGTTTTATATTTCTTAGCCGTGTTGTAAATATTGTGTATTTTCTGTCGACCATACGTGAGCTTAGCTCTTGACTCAATGTGTTCTCGAATTTAGATAAAGTCAATTATTTTTATCATCATCTTTCTCTCTTTATTATCCTGTTTATCGCAGTTTCATTGAAGGACTTGAAAATTCGAAATAATAACTGAATATATAAAGTTTTCGTAGTACTTATTAAAACAAATAGTGAATCAAATATATTCATATTTCCTTTATTGTTCCCAACTGGTGTACCAATAACCCCTGTTCAGAAGTACGTTTGACATCTATAAATTTCACTGATAAATATATATTTTAATATATATACATGTAAATCACAAATAGCGATAGTATATCTTTATCATAAACAGCGACAATAATTGTGTTTTTGTCTATTCGTATAGAGCCAAATGCTTTTATCTCGTTGCAAATGTCTGAATAAAACGTATAAATGTTATATATTTAGTAACATGAATTCTACTTGGGAAGTGATATAGCGTATCTCGGATTGATTTTTGTTCTATTTTATGACGGTAAAGATGACTAAAAACTTGTAAGCACGCGTGATCCGATTCTCATTCACATGTACAAAGAAATTATAGATTCTAACACGCATTTTATTTCCACCTCATATTCATGAGTTTTAGCGTGGCTACATATCATACGTAAATTAAGATAAGTTCTTATTGCAAATAGTTTGTGAGAGTTTAATCTTATGTTCGTGTTAACTAAATGTCAACGTTACCATTTTGACTTTTTGACTATTTTCGTCAATGTTACGTCACAATATTATGACGTTATGCATAGTATCGTTATTCTGACGTCACATTTGGTCTTTTTAAAGAAGGGAATATCCATTGCGAAACTGCCTGAGTTTTTTAATGCTTCATAAATAAGACGACCTCGACGGTAAGCCGGTTTCGAAATTACACCATGGATTCCATTTTAACAAAAATAAACATATTACCGTCCAAATCTTGTCGTAAATAGATGTGACAGTAAATGATATGTTTTCGTATTCGCCCTCCCAAAATGTGACAATGAAATATGATGTCACGCATTTGATTTTATTAGAATGTCAAATTACAAAAGTTTCGGAACATGTTTGCTAAAATAAGGTTTTTGTCAGAAAGAAAATGACCAATTCAATATCTTTCAAGAGAGGTGTAGTAAGCGTAAGCGCACCTGTAGTTGGTCGTTCAA